GGGGGGGGGGAGTAAGAGTGTGGGGCACAGAAGACTTGAGCAAAACCTGGGAAAGACCCCTTCTCAGGATCCAAGGTAGAGACCTCAACAGGCTGCTCCCCAGCAAGGGGAACAAGATGAGCCTGGCTGGGCCCTGCAGCGACAGCTCACTAGCTGTTGCAACCCTCTTCTCCCCTCAAATCTGCCATCTCCTCACTCCAGTTCTCAGCAGATGTACTTCTCAGAGCACTTACATTCTGACAACACCGCCTCATCTTCCCAGCACCAAGTCCACCACCCACCGTGACAGCTGCCCCACATACTCAGTTGCTTCTCCAGTTACCTGTTCACCAAAGGACTTGGTTCTTGAAATTCTCCCTTTTCTGGAACATTCTCACTAGGATAAATCTTACCTTCCCATCACCCACCTCAAACTCCTCCCTGACCCACCACCCACCACAAGCCCCATCCACTATTGACCTTCACAAAACTTGCAGAGCTGTCTACCCAAGTGCACCTCCCAACCTCTCCCCTCCCCGAGTCCTCCCTGATCAGAGATGACTCACTCTGGGCTGCCACGTGCTGCGGTTAATTCACTGTCCTCGGCTTTTGCCCTCCTGGGACACTGTCCACCAGCCTCCAGAACTCTGCTGGTTTTCCTCTTTCCACTCCAGCACTTCCTTCTCAGTCTCCCGTGCTGGGTCCTCCCTTTCCCCATCTGCGCACTCTGCCTACAGTCTCCCCTAGGAGAGCCCCCCTTGTCGTCCCCAATCCTGTATGTCAGTGTCTCCCAACTTCCTCTCTTCGGCGTAACCTTTCCCCTCAGCTGCAGACTCACTCATATAAGCGTCTCACAATGAACATGTTCAAAGCAAAAACCTTGATTTCTGCTCCAAAACACCCATCTTCTCTGTACATGATGCCACATTCACCTAGCTGCCCAGGCCAAAAATCTAGGAGCGCACCCTTGACTTCTGTCACACCCAGAATCTAATCAATCCATTAATTCTTGCCAACTGTTACCTCCAAAACTCAGTCTCCATCTCTATATCTCACCACCTCCACTGTCCAAACCCAGCCCAAGCCCCCCTTGTCCTTTGCCTGCACCCCTGCCTCCTCACTGCCCTCCCTGCCTCCCCTCCTGCCCCTATCTCCTTGAACCCACAATCTATTCCCCTCACAGCAGCCAGAGTGATCTCAGGAAATGGACAGCTTCTGGCTGTTCTTTTTTTTTCCCCCCAAAGTCTCTGTGGCCCACATCTTTTCTCAGAAGGCCACCAAAGACAGCAGAAGCCATTACTCTGTCACAGGTGACCAGGGCTGGAGTTTACCTCTCAACCATTCTCGAACTTGGAGAAGTTTGGGGGGGAGGGCTAGAAAGAAGGGGGAGACGAGGAAATGGCTTCTGCCCCAGGGCAGACTGGAACCTCCACTCCTCTCCCTCCATCTCTCTGCCATGGGCGAGGCCCATGGAGCCCTCAGAGAAGCCAGGTGGAGCTCAGAAAGGATGCAGAGGGTGAGATTCCCCCTGACGGCCACTAGATGTCCACTCAGCTCCACCAAGTCACTGCTCTGCCAGCCAAGGACAGCCAGCCTCCTGTTTCTGACAGCAGGGCCCACCCCATTCCTGCTGCCACCCATGGGTGCTCGCAACTGATGGATTCACTGTTTGTTCACCTGGTTCACCTACACCTTCTGGGAAGAGCCTCTGGCCTCCTCAGCTCTGCTCACCTTGGTTATGACAGAGCCTGGCTCAGTTCAGGTTCACCTCCTATGAGCCTGCAAGGGAACCAGGGACGGAGCAGAGACGGGACAGTCCAGTGTCTGCCTGGCAACAGCCTCCAGAACTTCCAGCCGCAGCCACTCCACACAGAGAACCCTGGGCTCACAGCCCACCCCCAAAACCGCCCACTTTACCAATGCTGCACACGAGGCCCGACTGCTCACTCACCTCTGGGGTGCTGTCCCCGCTTCCTCAGTTAAAACCAGAGCTGTTGTCGAGAATAAACGCTGTTACCAGTTTAAGAGGCTGTCTGAGTGGTGGCTCCACAGGCCTGGCCTTAATGACTAGATAAAAATCTGTATAATTAAGTGCATCAGCTTCACGCAGAAAATTCTGATTACAAGTTTCCACGTGCTTACAAGCACCCTAGACACTCGGTATTCTAGAATTGTGAAGGCGCAAGAGAAGAGTCAGCCCAGGCCCCTCAAGTCAGATTTGCAGCTGCCCCTGTCGGCAACGAGCCAGGCTCCCGGCCCCAGTTCCAAGCTTCTCTGCCTGACGTGTAGTATTAACTTGCTCTACAAAATCATGTTACCTGAAGCCAGCTTCAGCCTTGCGCTGATAGCAACAATACAATCTGACTAAAGAGCTAAAGGACCAAATCGAATTGACAAGGTTTGCCGCACTGCTCGGCACTGGGAGGTCGGATTTACCCACACCCTGGCGCCCCCTTTCTCTGAAGACCTGCTTCCTGTAAGGAAGGACCCGGGGAGAGAGCCTCACCCAGCTCACAACAGCTCCCGCGTGGGGACCAGCCACCCCACCAGTGACAGGTGAGGCCTGTCCTCCCTGCCTGCGCCGGGAGCACTCTGTGGAACCTGCTTCCTTCTGGGAGCGAAAGGGCCACACCTCTCACGGGCACATTCTCAGGGCAGCAGCCATAAGGGACGTCCTCCAGAGCCAGCCCTCAGAAACCCCAACATTAGTGACAGGCATGGCCCCCACACCCCAATCTCTCCCCCGCCTCCTAGAGAGGGGATCATTACAGATGGTTCCCTCGCTCTGCTAACCAATGAATGAGAAAAGCCGCACACCAGAAAAGGCAATTAGCAGGAGGCTGCCATTGCTGCTGCGTATTTTGCTGACACTCCCACCAAGCAAGGGATTGCAGAGCACACCGACCCCCAAGCCTGTTTGGCCCATTCATCCCCAAGCCCTGTCCATTTTATATATATCGCCGACATTTCCTCAGACCCCCTACAGCCCCCACCCGCGCCCCCATCCCTGCCCAGGCCTCCAC